GCTTCTGTCTGGCAACGCCAAAAGCACAGGCTATTTCTGCAACTTTAATGAATAACAAACAAAACAAAACCCGCAGCTGAAACGGTGCTCATATTGCATTAGCTGGGGTTGTAATAAATGCACCGGGGATTATTTTTCTGTGCGTTCATCAAAATACGACACTGTTAATTGTGAAACATTTGCATTTAGCAAGCTCGTGGCTCAATGATGTTGGCTAGGACACATTTGTGGAGGCTCATCCTTAACCCCAACAGCACAGCTAAAACAACAGCTATTGCAACACTTTCCTGATTGGCTGTACAGCATTTCTGACCGACTCAGGGCGGGTAATATTGAGACTGACGTTGCTATTGACAGTCACCGATATCAACTTGCGTGCGATCGATACGTGAATTACCGTATTTTCCGGAGTATAAGTTGCAGTTTTTTTTCATAGTTTGGCCGGGGGTGCGAATTATACTCTGGAGCGACTTATGTGTGAAATAGTTCACACATTGTACACATCACGTTATTTTCACATTAAACCGCTAGAGGGTGCTCTCGGCCTATGTTGATACTTTCCACGTTGGCGGTAACTGAGAAAAATAACTGACGATGACTCTGACGTAAGCGACGTAGAAGAGGAAGCGCTGCATCTTCTACTTCTGGAGTTGGCGGAGTTGTTCAAAAGTGACACCGAGCACGAAGATTTCATTGGATTTCGTGATTTGGAGTGACATTGATGGTTTGGTAAATTTGTTAGCATGTTCTTTGTGCTATAGTTGTCTAAATAACTCTTAATGTTACGTGAACATACCAGGCACATTCAAAGTTTGTTGTTTATGCGTCATGTAAGGTTAGCATGTCGTACACTTATTCAGTGTGTTGTTCTCTAGTTTTATTTTTATTTTAAAGTGCCTTTCAAGATGACATGTATGTTTTTGGTGTTGGATTTTATCAAATAAATTTCCCCCAAAAATGCGACTTATACTCCTGTCCGACTTATATATGTTTTTTCCCTCTTAATTATGCATTTTTTGGCTGGTGCGATTTATAATCCGGAGCGACGTATAATCCGAAAAATATGGTACTGTTTCTATTCTCTTCTATTGCAGTTTTCAGTGAAGCCAAGTTAACCACAAGAAGCCCCAAACTAGCATGCGCCGGCCAGCAGCATAAACACATACAAGCAGCACAGAAAGCTGGTCCTGAAGAATGGCAAAGAAAGACCGCGAAGTTTCATTTTCAGGCTGACTATTGCACAACTGGAAGAAGTAAAAAGAGGGCCAAATTTGTGAAAACATTCGTTCAAACGTTGAAGAAATCACCCATTAGATTGGGATCGATATTGGTGACCCGTGCCTGGCATTTACTTTCTCCTTGATACCGAATCTTGCACACAAACAAGCATCTTGAACGAGACCAAAAGCACTTCGATTGTCTACAACCTCCTCCAGATGCCTACAGTTTGACCCTCCTTGAAAGGTGCGGCAGAGTCAAAAACCTACGGGGGACTTCCTTGTTTTGAGCCATAACTATCCGTCTCATGGGCGAGGCCACAGCGAGCCGTTCAAACGCACTTTGTCACCACGAATGTTTTGTCAACGAGAGGTGAAGTGAGCATCGGGTCAAACGGCCGATGTCACGGACAGAAAATATTGTCAATGTCCTCCGAGCGATATTGATGGGACACTGGCCAGTCTACAAACAAACGTGACACAACACACTGGTGCTCTGCTTTAGATGGGCATCTCGTCTTTTAAGCTTTTAAATTAGTTTTGGTTTTGGATCGTGTGAGCAGATGGTCTTACGTCCTCTTCAAGTGAACTGTCCAGTTTAGAACAGTAGAGCCAAGTAAAAAAAAAAAAAAAAATGTAAGGAGGTAAAGTTTCCAAACCTATTATTAAAATATGGAGCTGCACATGAATATACGTTGTACGTTTGATTTAACAAAATGGAAATATTAATTCCACCTTGGTCACGTTTTTGGCCTTTCCAACAATAACAGTGCGATAATCACACATCTTATGTGTACAGATTAAATTCTGCTCTTCTTAATCCAACCGTCTTCTTTTAACCACCAAATCACTTTTTGCAGCCCGATCTAGCTCCTTCCTTCACTCTAATTCTTTTTCTTCAATATATCATCAATCAGGGTTGTCCAAATCCGGTCCTCGAGGGCCACCAACCTGTATATTTTAGATGGTTCGCTCCTCCAACACACCTAATTTAAATGTTCAGGATCGTAATCAGGCTTCTGAAGAGCCTGCTGATGAGCTGATCGTTTGAATCAAGCGTTCGAGAAGGAGGAAAAAAAAAAATCTAAAGCATGCAGGATAGATGCCCTCTGGGACCGGATTTGTGTATACCTGTCGGAAAGACTCGATATCCTGCTCAGCCCAAGTACTGTACCAAACAGAACCTGCTTAGTGGTAAAAGGCCTTAAGATGACTCAACCGTTCTGAATGTGGTCCTCTTTGGGACCTGTAGGTGGAGTCAAAGCACAAAAACTCTACAAATACGCCACAGTGAGACATTTGTGTCATTTTGTCAAACTTTTGAGCCAAAACAGAAAAGTGAGGCCACTACAGCAACTTTTGTCCTATGGGGAGCAATTTATTACACATGGGCACATCCGCTTACGGAGGTCACGCTGAGTCAAGAGGAGATACGTTGGATATGCTAAAACATGGTCCAAACGGCGCGATCACCCCCTCAAAAAAAGGCTAAGTCATTTCGTAATTGCATTTACATGTTTGGAGATGAGAGAGTTTGGCTAATGGGTACGTCGTTAGCTCACACCATACAAAGAGAAAACCCTGACACTGGCTGAGCAGTCAAAAACCACAACGCCACTGTTTATCAGCCCCTGTCCATAATGATACTTATCTCGCTTCCATTTGCAGCTGTCAGAAATAAACTGTTGATGATGGCTGCCATCACGCCATTTACTTTCTGGCTGCTGCCAACCCCGAATCACCATTCCTGCTTCTTAATGACGTGCGTTGCAATGATGGTCGTGCTAATGGTTTGTTTTGAAAATACAAACAGCCTGATGTGAAGGACGGAGCATCTCATACAGTAATGTTGATTGAAATGAACTTTGATTTGTATGCACAGACGCGCCACACTTGCTGCACTGTGGCTGTCTGCATGCCCACTTCGGCGCAGACAACATTACATGTGGGAGTCACAAAGCCGACAACATTCGAGGTACAATTAAAACTGATTTTCCGCCACAAGCTTCTTATGGCGCGGTATGTCTGATGAAGAGAGCCGCTTCCTCGCTCGGCTGCAGGCGGTGCGCTCACTCAGGGGAGCGACTATTGACAACTATTGAATGATCTACAGTGGTAAGGGTGGAAAAAGCAGGCTGTCTAAGTGAAGCCGACAAGTCAATCGATGCTGTGTTAAACACACAGAGAAACTCTGTTACAGACTGAGACAAACTTGCCTCCGTTTTTTTTTTTTTGGAGCAAATCTCCTGGTATACATTCACCAGCGTATCGAAAAATTCAAAGGCACAAGGGTTACGGATCTAAAAGACAGACACATTTTATGACTCATACACAAATGGCATTTAAAAAAAAACAAACAAACAACAAACCCGACTAATTTTGCAAATTGTTTTGGCCTTTTATGGCTTGTCTCTTCGATATGCACTTCATAGTTTTGCTCTGGCCTTTATTATACGTAGATGATTCCTTTTGGTTATTTTCATATTCAAGTGAAGGAATCAATTGTCAGCCACTTCAGTAATCAGTCCACATGTGCGATGCTCGATTTTCGCAGCGTTGTTATTGAGCCCCCTCCCCTAACTGCTTCAGGTTATAGTTCCATTTGTTACTTTGGCCTGTCCACCATCCCATATTTCTTGTAGCGTATGAAAGACACTCTAGTCTGTACTAGCACATTGCTACCTCCTGCTGCCTGCAGATCAAGCAGGAAGTGAGATCACAAGTGGTCACCGGAAGGTGCACGCTAAGGCCAGATGTGATAGGGCCAAACAAGATAAGCTGTGGCAGGAGGGCATGTCGGTTTTCCTCTACTTCCCTTAACAGAACATACACAAAGCAAAGTAAAATGGTGCAAACTGCTAGTTTGGTTGACATTCATGACTTTTTTTTTATGCAGCATTTAAAAAAATATATATATAACAAGATTAATTAACACAAATGGTTATGGCACCACCACAGGTTAACATCACAGACAAGAACATCACAGCGGAACCTCTTGAGTTGAACACACTTGAAAGAGGGTTGAACAGAAGCTATAAATGGCTGTCATGCATGATGTAACGTTAGACCTCAGGAATCTGGCAAGACTTCAGCTCATCAAAATATTGTCCGTGAGTCGAGATCGAGAACAACCAGAAGAGCAGAATGTACATTTGTTTCACGCAGGGACAACTTTAATACTTTTGGATTGCGTTCGGACGTAGGTTGCACTGCATTTAAAGATAAACCAAAAGATAGATTGACTGGCTCAGAAAATGTTAATTTCATTCAAGGTACTATGGCTTATCGTAGTATGCTTCTGCATTTTGTTTTTTATTTTGGACTTATATACATATTCAAAAGTTAAATGTAGGAAATTTCTGGTCGTGACTTAATCGTATCCCACATCATGTAATTTTAACAAGTGTAACCTTTTGATTTGAAGGTCTGGGTCATTTGTCGACAGATTCAATTTCTTTTAGCAAACAGCGGCAAATGAATTTGGTTACGTTAGAATGTTGAATTCGTCAAACTGAATTCCGGTTATTTTTTTGCCTCGGTCCCATGAAGTCACCTCAAGCCCCGCCATCTCATTATTCTTGACGTGGCAAGAACCGCTCACGTCTAACGTGCGTCGTAGTAGACTTTTTGGCCAAAGGAATTCCACTGATCAGTCTAAATGATGATCGATATAAATGCCTGTGAGAGCGCATGGGAGCTTGGGTGACTATGTCTATGGGAAGAAGCAGAGCAGGAGAAGTTGAAGAGAGCAGCAGCCACACAGAACATGGACAGAGCGTTTACCTGGCCCTGTGCTCTGTGGGTACGCCAAGTAGCCGCCTCTTCCACGGGCCCCCCTACCTGAGCCACGCGCTGCTACTACTGCCGCCGCCGCCACCGGTCCGTATGCCGTCGCTGGGAAGCCTGCGGGCACAAACACACGCGCATGCATCATTTCCTGCGTACGGACAAGTATGTCCCAAAGCTGCGGGAGAATGTTGACACCGGCGCTGAGCTGCGGGATAAAACGAACCGTCAGAGGCAGGGGCTCATGTCAGTGCGATATCTATCAGCAGACTCGGAACACGCTGCCGACCTAAAAGGTCCACGCGCGGTGTGAAAAACAGCCAGGAGCAACTCACTTAATATAGAGCGCAAATGATTGTTTAATCAGCTTGAAAATGGTTGCCGGTTTGTTTCCAATTCGTGACATATGGATGCATTATCGGCTAAAGTTCAGTGGTATGCACTCACTGGCCAAAACATTAGGCGCACCGTTAACAATCTGTTTGTCAAAGACATGAGGATGCTGTGAGCGACCATCAGTTGTGCGATGGGAATCATCCGATCTCACTTAACTGGTCCGATCTCTTATTCACTGCTAAAAAAAAAAAAGCATCTTTATTCATCTGTAAATACCAACAATGTATTAATTCATTCAGTACCAGCCAATTCTAAACCAAGTCTGAAAAGACGTATAAAAACGTCTTTGGGAGTGAATGAGTTAAAGGCGGCAGAACAACGAAAAGCTTTTCTACTCCATGGCAGAAGGTACCATTAATCTGCGTATGCGCCCGTTGCCTTCACGACAAAGGAATATGTCATGACTTTGATTTGTGTTCCAGATTTGTTACTATTATCATACCGAGCAACATTTGACGATTTCGGATACCTTATAGGGCAACCCGAAAGAGGCAAAATATTAGAAAAAGCTCTCAGTATATCACCATCATCTACAATAACGGACGTATTGTCAAAATAAATAAGAAATGATCATTCTTTTCGTTATCGAGGCCATTTTTAATACGGTTCTCGAGTTGCATCTCATTAGGTGCAGCGGTACCGAATGAATGGCCGATCAATTCGTGACATATGGATGCATTATCGGCTAAAGTTCAGTGGTATGCACTCACTGGCCAAAACATTAGGCGCACCGTTAACAATCTGTTTGTCAAAGACATGAGGATGCTGTGAGCGACCATCAGTTGTGCGATGGGAATCATCCGATCTCACTTAACTGGTCCGATCTCTTATTCACTGCTAAAAAAAAAAAAGCATCTTTATTCATCTGTAAATACCAACAATGTATTAATTCATTCAGTACCAGCCAATTCTAAACCAAGTCTGAAAAGACGTATAAAAACGTCTTTGGGAGTGAATGAGTTAAAGGCGGCAGAACAACGAAAAGCTTTTCTACTCCATGGCAGAAGGTACCATTAATCTGCGTATGCGCCCGTTGCCTTCACGACAAAGGAATATGTCATGACTTTGATTTGTGTTCCAGATTTGTTACTATTATCATACCGAGCAACATTTGACGATTTCGGATACCTTATAGGGCAACCCGAAAGAGGCAAAATATTAGAAAAAGCTCTCAGTATATCACCATCATCTACAATAACGGACGTATTGTCAAAATAAATAAGAAATGATCATTCTTTTCGTTATCGAGGCCATTTTTAATACGGTTCTCGAGTTGCATCTCATTAGGTGCAGCGGTACCGAATGAATGGCCGATTGAAATGAATGACAGCAATTTCCAGTGGGGTGATTGTATTAATTAAGATACTACTGGATAAGTGCATCATCTCCCTTCGCAGTAGACCTCTGAAAACGTGAAAATATTCAAAATTCCTATGAAACTACAAATCAAGAGAATAAACTGGCTCGAGGTGGGTTTGCAAATTGCAAACGGCTGATTAGATTAATGAAATAATGTTGCTCTGGGGGGTGTTTATGTCACAAGCTCGTAGGAAAGATTACAACCACCTCTGAGCTGCACAGCCACGCGCACGATAGCCCTACCTCTGGGCACAAACCCTGCATTTTTTTGTTCGGGTTCGCCTTCCCAAGCCCCCCGCAACCAATTATTGCGAGCTTCTGAGTACTTTGAATCAAGCGCTGTAATTCACCAAGGCAAACCACCGCGGCTTTTTGTTGCGGGTTCGTCAGACGGGAGATTAATTGTGGTTTTGTGGACAGATGGAGATGTCTGTTCTATGATTTGTCATCGTGAACGCAAATTCAAATCTGGCCTTTGGCTTCCTCTTAGCACGGTGAAGAACATTTAGTTTTAGACGTGGTCTATTTTGAGGAGGTTTCGAATGCTCTGGTGAAGTACAGACGTCAATAGGGTGTAAATATGAATGCAATTCTTTGGGATCTAATTATTCGTAACAAATATCATTTTAGTAATCAGCCTGTAATTAATCCAAAGCAGTATCAGTGAATTGTAATTACATTGTTGGGACTTAATGAACATGGTAGCAAGAGGTGGGTGACAGAAGCTGGTCCATGCCCAGGGCCTGGACTCTTTCAACACAGGAATGGCATGTCATTAGCGGCGGTGATGAGATTCCTCACTCTGGGCTCCACGCCGTCGACGCCTAATCAGCCTCCTAAAATTATCTCCACAGGATATGCTTGCCTCTCTTGCAAAAGAAATGAGCTCCAAATCCTCTCAATTGGAGTTGCTCCTGATTTTTTTTGAAATGAATGTGTGCAGAATGTGTTTGCGCCGCCACGTCCCGGCTCTGCCCTCTTCCAAAGACGGTGACTGGGACGTTACAGAATAGAACAGGACACCTCGGAGGATTGTTTTTCCAAAGCCGCGGAGGTGAGGGGAGAGCATGTGACCTATTTCTGAGGCAGCCTCCGAGTGCTATTCCATGAAGAGGGGCTCGCACAAAAGAATGATGAAATGGAGGGCATGGAACAGGGGGTGAGAGAGCAAGGTCAGACGAGCCCAAAAAAAAAAAAAAAAAAAAAAAAAAAAAAAGAAACACATAGCTTTTCATTAGATGGCCGAGAAGGAGGTAATTCACAACTCTGCCGACACAATATGACCACGACTGTGCGTGTTGGGTGCGAGATGCCACCACGCTGCGACCGGCACGATGGCCGAGAAGAGAGAGAAATATCATTTCCACACACGTCTCGGGGGAGAATAATGTAATAAAGTGGTCTGGCAGAGTGAGTAAAGAAGTAAAACAATCATAAAAAGACAATCAAAAAGGGCCGACTAAAATCTGCCACTTGAATGCGACTGAAACAGCTCCAATGAGGCCCCGTCCACCTCTTTTCACAAATGCAATGCTTGCGCACCCATGCATTTCCACTTATAACATCCGGGCGTGTGCTTGTGCAGAACAATGTTTCATGCATTTCCTTCACTCTCCCTCCTGCCATTGTCACGACACCCCAATAGACCCACTGGCTTGGAAGTTAGTTGCGAGCAAAGTTGTGGTGAGAGATTAACTTTGCAGGATTAGGTGGGTTAATTAATAGATGGCTGCTGCTCATTGTTTTGTGCTCACGCTGTAAGAAGCCACCCAAGAGAAGCGCTGCGGCATTAAATCAATTTCATGGCCCTTTTATTACTGAGGAGATAAAGCCAATATTTAGCTTTCAATTCTTCACAATTATTGGGCCCCTGCTTTGCCACTTGAGTGGCTGCACTTGGCTGGGGACAAGGACACATCTGTTTATGAGCTGCGCAGGCCCGGGGGCCTTGGTGTCCGGACTCGGGGGAACTGTCCTCAGCTTTTGCCTCCACGAGCCCGCGGCGCAGAAATTCAGCAATCATCAGAAGTGCCACGGAAATCAAGAAAAAAACGGACCTAAATAAAACCGGGCACAGTTGCAAACGCTATCGACCTCTTCTCTACAAGCAACATCTTTCTCTGCCAGGAAAAAAAAAAAAAAAACTTGAAACGGCTAAAGGAATACATTCATTTGTTCAGCACAGCATCTACCGCAACGGGGAAAACAATCTTTATGAGACTTTGGTTCACAGCATCGGTGGATGAAGCGGCGCAAATGGTATTCTATTTATCACTTGAATGAGGAGGTACAATTGGCGTGGTGGCTCATTTAATGTAAAATCGGAGAGATGCTGCTGACAGAATCATGATTGAAATGGAAGCAAGCGTTTTGCAACCAGGACTTTTGTTCATAATAAGAAGCCCTGTCAGCTGATCGGAATGCACTCCTCCAGAAATTAGTGCGCCAAAGAAGTGGCGCACAGGAACACAGCACGATTAGTCACGGCTGTCACTGTTCATCATGAATGGAATCACACAAAGACACGCATTTTTTCCTTTTTTTTGCCTTTTCTATGACATATCACAAAATGTGGAAGCATGGTAAAATCATGTTGATAGCATAGCAATCATTTGTTGCCCGCACCCCCGCAGCCGAATAAGGAGAAGCACTATGAATGGATGTAGATGGATGTTGCAAAAATGAAAAAATGGTATGTATCACTTCATCAAAACTCTGATATTTGATGAATCGACGACTTTTCAAAGCGGGTGCACTCGTCTATGCCGAGCACTGTACGCAGAAAACACAATGTTACGCCGACTTCAATGAGAACTACGACCCAAATAGAAAGGCATAATGCACGGCAACAAATGGCTCACTAAACGTAATTATGTTTTATTATTGGTGACATCATGCGAGTGACTAGGCGCTGCAGTGTTGGGGGTCCTACACTAAAAGGTTTATTGAAGAGCAACTCATTTTTATGGTTTGAAAAAGACAGTGATGGAGAGCCAGTGTCGAAGCCCCTCTTGACTTTCTTATGAACGACTCACAGAGAGTCCATAAATACCAAAGGTTCCCGACTGCTACTTTACTCAGAGCACACCTCAATCATGAGGCGGCATGGATTTGCGATTTGAACAAAAGAGACCATCATCTCTTGTTTGTGCGTCAAAATGAAAGGAATTAATTTGTTACACAACAGAAGTCAAATTGAGTATTCACTTCCAGTTATTTATGGCCTTTACTGCAAACCGCCACTAGGAGATGTAAGCGAGCAGTTTTTTGTCACTACACTACTTTAAATACACCGACCCACAAAAACTTGCACAATCAAATCAGATGAAGCAATACAGTATAGTATTTGTGCTTTTTTAGGA